AACACTATGGATACGGCCCACTCTATAAAGGTTACAGACGACTTGATCCAGGTCGTTCGTGTGGAGACATGCGAGTGGGGGTATCCTATACAATGAGTTTGTATAAGACCGGACCACGAAATAGGCAATCTTTAGATGTAACACCGTTAACTAATAGGTTGCTATTTCTTAGGATGACCAGACAACTCATTCTCAATCTTGAGTGAGTTATGGACTCCTGCCCATGAGGGCTCGTCCTTTGATCTGTATGGGTTGGAGTGGCCTGAGTCGCCGACTCAAAATTCCTACCATTTTGGGGACGAGACCAAGTGGGGAGCTGGGAACATAACTTCACAAGATGGAATTCACTCCTCCCCGACTTTAGGGGAGTAGATGAGTGTTCCCTTAAATGCTGACTCCGGGACTTGAACAAGGGGCCCCACCCTCTCATTGGCCGAGAGGGACTTCCAGTTAATTGTTGGACCATAACCGGGTTGTTCATTAGAGGAGCAATGGTGTTTCAGGAGTACGATGTAACTCAGGGGTAAAACGGTAATTTGACCCAACTTGAGTTACGAACACTCGTGAAGGATTGACTCGTCATTAATGGTCGTATATCCATGGACACGAACACATTATGTAGTGAGAAGAGTGCAACTGCGGGTCTTTAGTGGAATGAACCGTAGTTAACGAATCTAGATTAACTCGGTCAATGAGTTTGACTGATTAATCTTGCATCGTTGAAGCTTCGGATCTGTAGGTCCTAAGGTCCCCTTGCTAGTTCATAACGGGTAAAACGAGGATCAAGTTTTTGAAAGAATTTGAATTGTTCAAATTACTTAAGGGATTATATGTATATTGATACATTATAATATATAGTTAATTATAAATTAAAAACTATATATTATGAGAGAAATTATTTGAATAAGATTCAAATAAAATTAATATGAATATGATTCATATTAAAACTATAGGTTAAAAATAATGTGCATAAGATGTACATTACAACTATAGGTTATGCGAGAGAAATGTTTTTGAATATGATTCTAATTTTATAATAAATAATTAAGTATTAATTATTTATTTGATTTATATATATATTTATTAATTAATTATTAATTGGATTAATAATTAATCATATCTATTAATTAATATGATTAATTAATAAATTAATATATATAATATTAATTATTATATATATATTAATTATTATTATTAATTAATATATAAATTAATAATTAACTCCCCTGCAAAATTGCAGAGGAGTGGGCAGTTAAGTGGCGTGGGGTAACTCCCCACGCCACTGCTTTTTGTTCTTCTTCCTTTTCAGTTCTGGAAAAAAAAAAGAAGAACTGAACAGAAAAAAGGGACTGCCAATTTCTCTCTCAAGCTCACTCTCTCAAACTCTCCCTCTCATTCCAAACAAGATGCTCCCACAAGCACGGTTCTCGAAACCCAAGCGGATAACAGGGAAGATATTTTGGTGGTGTTCGTTGGGAAAAAGTTGAAGAAACGTTCTTCAAAGGTAATGGTTTTCCCTGTATCTTCCCTCTGTAAATTTCGATTTTGTATCCCGAAAATCAGCAACGAAAGTCCGCTTCCGCTCCGTGATTCACATCCCTTCAATTGGTATCAGAGCCAGGTTGTAGTTCTGATGATTTTTTGGGATCAAAATCGTTGAGTTTGGTGGGTGATTTCATATTTTCGAAATATGGGTTTGCTGGTTGGAAAATTTCCGGTTTTTGGCACCTAGATAGTGTTTTACTTCGTGATTTGATCATGTAAGGGCCCGGTGTTTTGGGTATTTAGTTTCTGTATTGTTTTTGTAAGTCCGGGTCTCTCGAAAATCGTTCGTGGCGTCGGATTGGGCGAAAATTGCAGAAAACAGCGAAGAAGACGAAGCAGACTGCGCAGACAACGTCATGGCGCTATGCAGCAGCGCCATGGCGTTGCGGGACAACATAGAACCCCACGGCGCTGCACCGTAGTGTCGCGGCGCTGTGCAGTGACTGGGTGTTTATGCTGAACGCACGCACTAAGCGTGGTAACAATTATATAGATGCAAGCGCACACCTGTCAGAGTAATATAAAATGGA